AGAACATTGCAACCAAATGGGATCACTTCTTAATGCTGATGGTTTCGTATGTGTCTTGTGCATGAGGAGTCAGACCCTTTAGGAGAGAGAGAGAAGATGAGAAAATGTTTATAAATATACATAAAAACACTGTAGAAGGTAAATGTAACACTCACCATATATATGCCCTCTTCGACAGTCTGAAAGAAGAAAGGAGACAAGAAAAATATTAGCCACGTGTCTTGTTGTCAAGAACGACTAGATCACTAATGGAAAATCTCACAAGAAAGGAAAAACCCAATAATTGACACAGTTTGCCTGTGAAACCTAACAGAAGCAGAAACTGATCAGCAGTAATCGTATCAAAAGTGATACGATTTGAAACACAACTTCATTAAAGTGGGCTGAGTTTGAAGGTGGGCAGGATGTTTTGACTCCTCTAACCTGCTCAGTGGTATCAGAAAAAAAAAGAAGAACCAACTGCAGAGAGTATTAGTAAAAGTTGCCACAAAACACATACACACACACACACACACACACACATGTTGTGTCATAATATCCTTGTGGGGACCTTCCATTGACTTCCATTCATTTCCCACTAATTTATATGGCCTAACCGTGACCCTTGCCCTAACCCTAACCATTACCGACACATACCTCTCCCTAAACCTAACCTAAACTCAATTCACACCTTAGTCCTAAACCTAACCCCTTCCTTATGGGGACCAGTTGTTGGTCCCCACAAGTACCTATGAGTCCCCAAAATGTAGCATATTCCTAGGAAATTGTCCCCACCAGGTATTAAAGACATGGCCACACAGACACACACACACACACACACACAGTTAACGTATGTAGGCATTTTCGTGCTAATTTCCTCTCACGTCCAAAACCTCAGCATGTCCACTGAGGTTAGTCTTTGGCTCATTTTTGTCGACTGAAAGGCTGTGGTGCGGTGTAGCCCATCTGTTTCTGCTTTTTAGACAACAAGTCTCATTTTAGACATGCAGGTGTTCTTACCTGCTGTGACTTTCCTTTGCGTTCCCTGGCCTCTCTGGAATTGTGGATCTATAAAACATATAAAACAGAAAAGTAATGGTAAATCTACACTTTTAATGACATAAGAATAGAGACGCACCGATCAGGAATTGGGGGCCAGTCACTGATTAACAATCACCAAAATCAGTATCACCAATCACATAAATTCCATACATTTTTCAATACTTTTCTCATGTACATTGACATTGTATGATTAAACCTAAAAATTAGAAGATGAGAACATGTCATCAATTGACCACTGTTTTAGTTAAGAAGGCAGCAGAGACAAACTTTTTTTAATCATAAAGGAAGATAGGGAAAATAATGTTGAAAAAGAGCTTAGAATTTTTTAGATGGCTTTTTAAATAGCTGCTATGTCTGCATAAAAGAAACTGTTTCTTTTGTACAGACATAGCTGAGGTTTTTTTCTTATCGCATTGGTTGTTGTCTTGT